ATCATATCATATCATATCATATCATATCATATCATATCATATCATATCATATCATATCATATCATATATCATATCAAATCATATCATATCATATCATATCATATCATATCATATCATATCATATCATATATCATATCAAATCATATCATATCATATCATATCATATCATATCATATCATATCATATCATATCATATAAGAATAGAATAGACTAGAATAGACTAGAATAGAATAGAATAGGGGAAATTCAGGTGTCACAGCAACATCAGATATAAAGTTTCAAAAGTATTGAAAAAATGTAAAAAAAATCAATAAAAACAATAACAGCAACAACTGTAATATTATTAAGAAACTGTACAAGATTATAACAAAAAAGATACTATGCAGTTATTAAAATAGAAATAACGCACTCGTGATCCAAGCGATTTGTCACTGAGTAGTATGAATTTTCTAAAATGTACTGGTACATGTGCATGTGTATTAAGTTTTTCTTTCCCTAAATCCCAACAGACTATTTACAATAACAATGAGAACTGAATCAAAGGAACACAGAGTCAGGAGAGATTGCTACAATAGTATGAAACAAATGTCTGTTTAAGTAAACTAATTCAAAAAAACAAACATGACTTCCTGTTCAGGTGGTCTTACCTGGGGCAGGGGTTTCTGGTAGACCTGCATGGCCAACATGACAGGAGCTGCTGTGCCCCAGTTGTAGTACCTGAAACATGACAGAACATTTTAAAGAGAATCAGTCAGTCCTTTGCATTAAGTTGAAGGTACAAAATGCTTTTAATGAAAGCCTGTTGGCTTTTAAAAATGCTCTAAGAAATATAAACCAAGCAGTTTTAGTATAATGTTTCTCAGACACACGAACACCTATCTTAGTATTAAAGAGGCTATATCATGTAAAATCCACTTTTTTGAGTTTTATATCATGTTATAATATTATCCTCTCATCAAAACATGCCCAGAGTCTTACTTTGACTCATTCATGCATGTTTGAGAAATCCTGTTGTTTCCTGAGGCAGCCAGGCAGGGGAGCAAAAACAACAGGTTGGGGCAAGAACCACCTTTTAGGACCAGCTCCGCCTCTGGGCTGTGCACACCTCCCCACCCCCCACCCCCGCCCGTGACTCCTGCAGGCTCTTGGCAGTAATAAAGCAAACAACTGGTGAAACTGAAAGTGAAACTGAAACTGTCTGCTGAGCTCCTAATACTACTTCTCAGCGCAGCCCTTTTCAAATTCAAAACACCTTTGCGGAAATGTATTTTCAGATGCCAAGTAAATTACGCTGAGCTTCCATATCACAGCACCCATCCTCCCCCCATGTGTTGAAATGGGTGAGACAGAAGCGGAAGGTGGTTCTTAAAGATACAGAGGCCAATTTCAAGGTGTTTAGAAAAGGAAATGATGAGAGGATAAGTTTATTTTCTATTTAAACATAAAAAACAGCATTTTAATAACAACTAAAGGTGACACAGATACTTTATTATGGTACAGAACTTAAATATATACCAGAGAAACACATAATATTACCCCTATTAATAAAACAGTACTTACTTGTTCCCAATCTTAACCACCAGGTTGGGGTCATCAATAATCGAAGGATTCTCAGAGAACTGTTGGTAGGAAATGGCTCTCTCCAGGAACTCATCTGTGGCACCAAACACACACAAAAGAAAATAAAAGTTAAAAAAAAAAAACAGATATTTTCTCATAAACGTTTCTACACAGTCTTTTTTCCCCTACCTCTTGTGATCTCCTTGTTGTCAGTGAGTCCTCCACACAAAGAGATGGCGACATGAGGCAGGTCACTTATCTGGTCCACCAAACTGTCCATGCCGCTGTCCATCCCACTGCTGCCCACTGACTGAGGGGACTGATTGGTGCTCCTCACACCCACCATCATCATCTCGGAGTCTCCCTTCATTGAGCTACTGCTTCCATCACTGAGAAGACACGTCACAAAGAAGTCTTGCTGATATTTCTTTAAAAAAAAGCTGAAGCAGTTAAACTATAAAACAGACACAAAACTGCATTGAACACTTTCATAACAATGACGTATAAAATCTGCTTTTGCTAAACTACCTTTTAGGGAAATAAAGAGCAGCAACTTCAGGTTCCAGATCTGTAATGTCGTCCAGATATATCCCATCAGCCCCCAGGTGCTGGCTTCTCTTTTCTAGAGGAGACAGAATCAAACTTCAGCAACAGATATAAGATATAACTTTTAAACTGCTTGTAGACGAAAAGAGCCCACTACCTTTCCTTTTGGAGGGTGAATCGGTCCTCCTGATGGGACTTCCACTGATCCTGGCTTCGTTTACTGGACCTGGGAGAATCTTTGGGGACACTGAATCTGTTGTTGAAGTTTCCATCTCTATATGTGATGGACCAACACGCTCAACCTCCTTCACTGTAACGCCAAGAAAAAACAGACAGGGTAAAAACAAACTCCTAAATCACGGACGATAAATAAGATCAGCTTTAGGCTGTTGCACTAAAACGGTGCAGTTCAACAACTGCTGAATTTAAAACTTTTGTCTTTTTTGAAAATTGGCATGTTCCAATCCAATCCAACTTTATTTGTAAAGCACTTTTTGCACCATAGTAGACCAAAGTGCTGTACAGAATCAGCACTGCAACACAGCTCATACAAAAACAAACTCAATCACAATTAAAATAGGGGAAAAAACACAGAAAAATAAAACCAAGTAATAAAACTCAAAGTAAAAACAAGGAATAAAAACAATAAAATGCCTAAAAGCTCATTTAAAATCTAAAATAAAAACAAAAAATAAAATCTAGTATAAATGAACAACACAACCCCTGACACAGTGTCAAAGGCCAAAGTAAACAAGTGGGTTTTAAGATGCGTTTTAAAAACAGCCAGTGAAAAGGACCGTCTAAGTTGGAGAGGTAGCTCGTTCCAAGGTTTAGGAGCTGCTGCAGCAAAAGATCGATCCCCCTTGAGTTTGAGTCTGGTTTTAGGGACCCTCGGGAGCAGTTGATCAGCTGATCTGAGGGAGCGGGAGGGATTATGGTGCAGCAGATCAGACAGGTATGGTGGAGCTAGGCCATTCAAAGATTTAAAAACAAATAAAAGTATTTTAAAATGGATCCTAAAAGGCACAGGCAACCAGTGGAGTGAAGCTAAAATGGGAGAAATGTGTGCCAGTTAAAATCCTCGCTGCAGCATTTTGGACCCTCTGCAGTCAGGCGATGGAGGACCCACTAACCCCCAGATAAAGTGCATTACAGTAATCCAGCCGGGTGGTGATAAAGGCATGAATTACTGTCTCAAAATGTCTTCTTGGAGTTATGGGTTTTATTTTGGCTAGCTGCCTCATTTGATGAAAACTCCTTCTAACAATTGACCTAATGTGGCTGTCTAATTTAAGTTCAGGATCCATTTCAACTCCCAAATTCCTCACTAACAATTTGTTGTACTGAGTCAAGGAACCAAGTTCTACAGGGGAGTGGCCAACAGTACCTCCAAAAACCATAACCTCAGTCTTGGTTTCATTAAAACTCGAAAAATTCTGTGCCATCCAGGCCTTCAGGTCCTCAAGACACAAAAAGAAGTGAGTCTATTGCATTCGAATTAGACTTTTTGAGAGAGACAAAGATCTGGCTGTCGTCTGCGTAACAATGAAATGAAATACCATGCTTTCTGAGAATAGAACCGAGTGGGAGCAGATACAGAGAAAACAAAGGTGGGCCTAAAAGTGAGCCTTGAGGGACTCCACTGCACATGTTGTGCAGTCTTAACTCATTTATCTTTTTGTGATCCAGTTTTCTAACCAATAACTTACAATTTCAGCCATCTAAATGAAATAATAATAATAATAAATTTAAAAAATGTGTGTTCATTTACTTGTACTTTGGTAGTGTTTTAACATTTTTTTGGCCTAAATTGAACAATACTTCTTTTCCAAAAAAAATTTTGTATTTAATCTTTTATTCATACTGTATGTTTCATTTATTTTCACTTTAGTTGAGTTAAATTAAAATAGATGCATTTCAGTGTAATATTCTAAGAAAATAAAGGTTTCAACACAAAATATACAAATAATTTGTAAATCAGTCATTTCAAAAACCTTGTGTGCATAATAACCACTAGAGGTCAGTAAAGATTTAAATTATAGTACAAAAATATCTCAGCTGTTTAGTTCTTATTTACCGGTAAGTCTCCCATTAGCTTCCTTAGTCCACGAGATTATTCATAGTTTGTTGGTAACATTTTAGTTTTGTTTGGGATTCTAACAAAGTTCAAACAAACTCATTTAGTTATGTGAAGGAAAATACATTTTCAAATATATTATTCCCTCTAAATACCAACGTAACTCCCTCATTTGTTTGGCACAATTATTTTAAACCAGCTAGTTAAAAAAATCTTTATATAATTAGATGTTGCCTCAGATTTACCTTTGTTTGTCTCAGTGTCCTTGTCTGTTTCCAGAGCAGTGGTCTGACCAGTCTGGGGGGTCCCAGGAGAATCCGAAGCAGACCTGGTGTCACTGATGGCTCTGAAGTGAGTGTTGGTCCTCACTGGGATAGGAACGGCTGCAGCAGGGTCCTGCTTCAGGAGCGAAGCCAGGAAGGACGGCTGGGAAAAAGAAAACAACATGAACAATTTGCACTCTGAAATAAAAAGCATAAAAAAACTAAAGTCATTTCCCACTGGATTCTCAGCTGGGCTGAATGTTTTGATAACTGGATGATAAAAGTAGAATAAAGTATGCAGAAGTTCTTTAGCTGACTCAGCATTCAAACAATAACACATATTGCCAATTTGATAGTGTGTTTAGACACCTGCGCAGTGTGTGGAAGCTCCCCCCAGGTCCACTGGATTTCAGGGTTTGTCTGATTGGTCAGCTCTGAATCACTCTTTGGAGTTGATGATCCTGAGTCATCTTGGCTGCTGAAGCAAAACGATTATCAGAAACTTGGTCAAACTCAGTTGTTGTTTTACAAATAAAGTCCCTCCCCATGCAGATTCCAGAGTAAAATAATATAACAAAGAGAACATTACACCATAATTGAAAATACTCAGACAATATTATTTTTCTCAAGTAATTGCTTCAAGTTGTTTATTGGGTGAGGTATAAAAAAGAAAAGTGGTACCTAAGTAGTGAAGAGAACTGTGAGGTTCCCGGAGGACAAGAGATGGACAGACCATAGTGTGGAGGGATGGAGAGGGGCTCCTTTTTCACATCACTACATTCAAAGGAAGACATGAGACAGTGAAATAAATATTCATCCCATAAAAGAGTGCAAAAAAATATACAAAGTGATAAATAACATTATAAAGAAAAAAAAATACTGACAAGACAAAAAAGAAAATCATTACGTGTGTATCCGTGTGTGTGTGTGTGTGTGTGTGTGTGTGTGTGTGTGTGTGTGTGTGTG